GATGGAATGGTGCTGTGATGCCAGTAACTGAAGAGGAAGCTAGGACCCTGACAGCTGTAGCTCAGTCCTCTGAGTCAGACAGCGATGAAAGCAGCTGCAGAGCAGAGACCCAAAGGCAGGTGTCCTGGGTGAGCTGGCGTGGTGGATTGAAGGGGAAACGTTCCCACGGGCATAGGCATTTGAACACTTGGTCCCTTGTGAGTGGCACTGTTTGGGAAGGTGTTGTGGCATTGCCGGAGGAAGTAAATAACTGAGGGTAGGCTTTGAGAGTTCTTAACTTTACCCACAGGCAATTTTCTCTCTCCGTGTTTTCAGTGGAAGATGAGAACTTCGGTCAGCTTCCTGCTTCGGCTGCCATGCTTTCCCGCCATGATGGGCTTTTATCCCTCTGGAACCATGAGCTCAAATAAACCCTTCCTTCCAGAAGTTGTTTTGGCTGCCATGTTTTTCCACAGAAATGGAGGAGTGACTACTAAGGCCAATTTCCTTGCTATACTGCATCCTCTTTCCATGCCTTTAAAGTAAAAACAGTTACCTTGGTAGAGTACCAGTCGGAAGAAGCAGAGTTATTCCACCCTGTCTGTTCACGTTGAGAACTGCATTTCCAGGCATTTCAGAGGGTTCGTGTTCAATATTTTTAAGGTGAGAAAAAAAATCACAAGCGTCTACAAGAAAAACACCTCTTTCCTTGGAACTGAATGTATAATTGAGATTTCACACTTCAGCATTATTCAAGCTTAATCTTTACTGAACTTAGTGAAATATCATTTCGATCAGGATAACTTCCCATATTATTATACGACTTCCCCACCATAATTGGATTCCTTGGGCACCACAGGAGTCCTAATTGCTAAGGCAGAGCAATTTTGCAATCATCAGCCTGTGTTGCCCATGCTGAAAGCCTTGCAGGAGGTTTTACAGAAAGGACTCCTTTCAATTGTGGGTGAATCTCAAAAACTAACATAATACATTAGTTTTCCTCTTATGATTTTCAGAAGGCCTGACTGAGAAATCCATTCAATTTTCAGCCATCATCCTTCTCAATGTTATCATAATGTAACATATTAGATATACATTTAATGAAATTAACACTGAATATTTGAAAAGTAAAACAGATTTGAAATTTTAAAATGTGAAATAGCACACATCTATGAACTGAAATTCTGTTGTGGTATATTTTCTCTTCTTGAGGGTTCACTCACATAAACATTGGTTCATGACATGACATGGTCAGTAGAGTGTGGGTCTCCATAAGGCCCTAATATTTAAACTTAATCTGCTTGGATTTCAACTTGGTGTAAATTAAAGATAACTGGCCTCATTGCCACACCCCCTGAGGGTCCTGGTACTATTTTGCCTCTGCTACTTGATTTTCTTGATTATGTCAGTTTGTTTTTCTTTCCTTTAGCACCTTCATCCACTGTAAATGAAGACTAAACATGTGGTGTGCTACCTGGAGTTCTGCGTAGTGCAAATAATGTCAGATACAGGAGCATGCTTCTTAAACTAAAATCCCTTATAAATGCAGATGTGCATCAGAGAAAATATATCCAGAACAGATGGCATTTGTGATGCCAAGCTAGAATCTTCATTCATTTCATTCATTTCCTTTATTTCTTACAGTGGCTGACAGACTAGGAACTATTAGTGTTAAAGTACAGAAATGAGAAAGCAAAGAACAGAGAGGGAAAGCAGTTTATCCCAAATCCCACAGCTGGTTAGTGGCCAATGTGAGTGGAGAGCTCATCAACTTAGCTGCTCTGTTACATGGATTCAGAAGAGGACTTTGGCCCTCAGAAGGAATGTGTGAGGCCAAAGCTGAAGGAATGTACATGCTGTGGTGGGTAGAACTGAATCCTTTCCAAGATACATTTGCTGGAGTTGTTTCTCGGGATGTGCTATATCATGATAGGGTCATCACAGATGTAATTATTTATAATGAGGTCATGCCAGAGCAGTATGTACTGCTAATCAATATGACAAGTATCTTCATAAAAATGAGGAATCTGGAGTCATA